TATTTCTATTATGAAATATCTTTCATAATAATACGAGGACCTTTTTTTTCGTAATTCCAGCATCAAATTTTGAAATTATAATTTATTACCTACATGTTTTATTTTATAAATGTGTCATGTATGATGTAGCAATAGAGAAGAAATATTTCTAACAATATTGCCATATAAAAAAATGGTGTAATTTTAAAAATAGTTCTAGACTAGAATATCACGTGGACTATAAATATTATTCAATTTTTGTACCAAAAAAAATCTATAGAGCAATCTTTATCTATTGCACTCAATACTATAGATAAGTTTTCCTGTGGGAATGTACAGATAACATATAAAAATGAATCTGAATGTGTCACTTACATTTAAATCAAATAAGCGTTTTCACAAGTAACTAAAATACCAAATAAATTATCAATACATATGTTTTGCACAACAACTTGCAAACCCACAAGGGGTAGGCAGAAATGGTCTTCATATGGCTCGGTTCCAACTCAACTCATATAAACTTGAAGCGTTGAGTTGGAGTTCAACAATTAAATTGGCTCACAGGTCATCGGGATTTACTATAACTATGTGCCGATAACTGGTGACTCGCAATTCGCAGCTTACGCAAATCATAACTCTATGCAGGTACAAATTGAGCTACGAGTCATTTCACTGATCTACTTCATAGACAGCCGTGAACTGATTTGAAAGTCATTAATTTTTAATGAATCAACTCATGCCTACCTTCGAAATGCAGTACTATGCCTTTGGTATCCGATATCAAACCACATTATGTCTACGGTTCAATAATTTTATAATTAATTCTTAATTGCATTAAACATACAGCCATGCGTAAACTTATTATGTTTACAATTAGTACGTGGGATTTTCATACGAGTTACTTAAGTGCATTTTTTCTCTCTTTTATATTATAAAAATTTAAGATAATGCTAAGAAATGCAGAACTCACGATATTTTGTAACCTCGTATATTAAAGACGCCATGTTTGTTGCAATCATAGAAAAGTATACATCATATTACATATATGAATTTTGTAATGTGAATCAGCTAGCTGACGACATATACCGATATAACCCCATCTATATATTTGTAATTTATATGTCTTACCTAACTAAACTCTTCTATAGAAAATATGCTTAAGTTATATAATATAATAAATCGTCATGAACCTGCCCTTATTCCTATTGGGGGTCGGCACAGTACTACTCCATAAATCTCTATCAGCCGTCATATCCGAATCTACCCCCTTCCAACCCATATCCTCTTTCGCACAGTCATTTCATACTTTTTTTGGTCTTCCTCTACCTTTTTAACTTTATCCTTTCTTGTCACACCGCACATCCATCTTAGCATACGCATTTCAGCTACATGCAACTTTCTTTCATCCGAAACCAAAGGTTTGGCCCAACATTCAGATCCGTACAATTCGACAGGTCTTACGATGGACTTGTAGATCTGTCCCTTAAGCTTCATTGGCATTCTTGGATCACAAGTTACACCGGTGACCTGTCGCCATTTCATCCAACTTGCATTTATTCGGCTTTTCACATCCCGGTCAACACCGCCGTCACATTGGACGAGTGAACCGAGGTACTTAAGTTATGATAAATATTAGCAAATAACTAAAACATATGTATTCAAATTAATTACAAAATAATGTAATTACAACATCCTACCGCCAAATTATTAAGAAAATAAAATATTGACAGCCATCAATCGTTTTAGTACCTTTTTCGCAAGATTGTTTCCTAGAAATGTATTCAGAGAAATACATTATAGTGCGGATTAGTTAATTGCCAGAATTATTATTATACCAATGGTCATTAGACCAATGTTTTATAATGCGTTTTAATTCTGACTTAATAGACAAGGTAGGTTATTAATAATAGCTACTTTTGAGATAATGAAGCAATAAATTACATACCATTAAACGTATCTTAAAATAAAATAATATTAAAATAAAAAACTTACCAGAACACGTGAGAAAACATCCAATCTTGTGAGCATAAAATTTCAAACACAATCAGCTTGCCATTTAAAAGTAAAAAAAAACAAGTCAGTTTTCAATGTCACAAAACACAGCACATGTAACGGGACACAGGTTGACGTTTAAAAGTGGTCGCGAAAAAGAAATCAAACGATCGATGGTACGCGATTGGCCGGTCGCAAAACGTTCGAAATTCAAATCAACCAATCGCCCGGCAGTACGCATGCGCCTACTCTCGACTAATGCTTGACGCAGACTGAAACGGTTGCTTGACTAGTGGTTGGAATGAAGAGCCTTCTCCATTCACGCTGGCAGGTAGATTACTTTGGCATTAAGCAATTTTGAACTCTATTCCTTTGGCTTAAAATTAAATTTTTAGAAGTAATAGATGGTGACTAGGATGTTTTGAAATTGAATACAAGACATTGCCACCTCGGTTGCCTTCATATGCGCACGAGTTAAGTTTTTGCCGTATTTTGTTCTATTTTATTTATTTATTTTCGTTAAGATAAAAGAAAAGTTTTTAATTTGATTTTGTTTAATATGGCTGTCATAAACTTTATACGTTAATCTATATTTTATTGCAAAAGAGAATTAATTTTAATAACTACCTACATAAATATTGCTAAAAAAAGGGTCTTGACAGACAGACGGACATTAAAGTGATCCTATAAGGGTTCCGTTTTTTTCCTATGAGGTACGTAACCCTAATATCTAAAATTACTTTAACGAAAAATGGTATTGGAAATGCGTTCATTTTAGGTAAAAACATGAAAATAAGTTAAAAACAAGTACCTTAACATAATAAAATTTTTGACGCAAAATTTTTTGTATCGCTTGCTTGAGACGAAACTTTGCGACGCCTGGTCAAACATGTTTTGCAATTTTTTTACATTAAGAAATACTGCTTACAATGCTTATAAATTCAAGGGCCGGAGGCAATCATATAAATTATTATGAATACAAACATACATATAGGCGATTTAAAAGACAAAAAAACTCGTTTTTATACGAAAGGCTAAGGAGGTTTACCTTCAGAGACCAATGACTCGTCGCTCAGGACTCTCAGAGAAAAGTTTATTCACTATTTATTGTATGCATTTATATAAAAAATATGAGCCTAAAATACACTATGATAATAGGGCTAATTTTAGTCTATTTTTTTCTTTCAGGGAAAGAGTGGTAAGGGGAAGTAGATTTGACAGTGGTGGGGACGTATCGGTAGGGGAAATATTCTTAATTTTTGCCTCCGATCCTCCGACGATTCAAGGTAGGTAACGCATCTGTAACTGCGGATGTCTATGAGCTTCGGTCGCTTCGCAATTTCGGCGAATTCAGGTGGCCGCTTGCCCGTGAGCCACCTAAAATAAAATAATTTAAAGCCATGCAGCATTTTTCTTTTAACATCAAAGTATTGCTTATTATCACGCTTATTCTTTTCTAAGAAAAATATATGTTTTCGTACAAATGTTTCCGCAGTGGAAACGGTGAAAAAATCTTTGCTAAAAATCACACAACTCAATAATATGCGTAAAGTAACGCTATTAGCTAACATAATGTCCTTTAAACCGGTTATTCCGTTTGATTTCGGCATCACATCAACGAAGATTCATATGTTACTAACATATCGTGAAGTATGTTAGTTGATAATCCGACCAGCCTCGTCACCATATTAGGCTCTGAACCAAAGATTTTTATGTACCATTTTTATTATTATTGAAATTGTCCAATCATGTTATAACGTTAACCACATAATTCCAGTGCCGTGTCTCTTTTTTGTCAAGGAGAATGAAATAGACGTCAATATATTAAAAAATTACAGTCAAATCAAAGTTATAATGTAAAATAAGATGTAGGTTGGGTGAGATATTTATTATGTTTACAGTTTGCTTTCACTTTGTACTATGCCTAGACAAATTATAAATTGACGATGTTTACAATCTACACGTAACACATGTAATATCAAGTGACCGGATGACTGAGGTTGCCTGTCGACATTCCTTTCGAATTATTTTTAACATTGGACAAACTTTACAAAGAAACCTAACCTTTAAATGTGTTGAAATGAACAATTGAAAATCACTAATGTTTTTTTTCTATGCGCCTTTAAACTTATTTTAATACTACAGTTAAAGATTTTGACTGTTTGACCGTCACCTTTGAATAATCTTCAAACTTTAGTTTTAAGCTTTTAAGAAGTTATCATAAATTAATAAAGATTTTGGTTATCTTGCGTAAATTAACGCCGGCAAGTTGGCAGCACTGATTTCGATTACTGGACTGGAATGTAAACTGGACACTCATATCAATAACATTATAAACAATCGAATTTGGACGATATCAGATACAAATAGTTGTCTCAATTTTTTCAAACAGAATGACAGGGATAGAATGTGTTCCTATTTGCTTGGAAACGTATTAACTTAACTTTCTATTTATAAAAATTTAAAAATAAAATTAAACAGCTAAATATTTTACAACATTTATTTCACGACATAAATATTAAAGAATCTAAGGGTTATTTCTAATACAATAAATATATTGATTATTTTAGAATAATAAATGCGTAAGAATAAAAAAATGTAACACAAATAAAAAAATTAAAACTAAATAATACTGAATAAATTTGTCATGACTAGAATATTCTTTTAAATAAAATTGTATAAAATTACACACATTTTAAATTAGCATGTAATTTTCCAACAAAATAAAAAATATTAAATTAACAAATAAATTAAAATAAATTATAAAACTCTGATAAAACAATTGAAGATCATCAAATGATTATTTTAATATTTAATATCTTAAAATAAAAATAAATATTAATCATAACAATTTTGATTTTATAACAGGTACAGTAAGAGACAGGCTTTATTCCTATTTTTAATAAATACATTTTAGTAAATTATTAAAAACTTTCGTGAGACATTATACTAAACTGATATATAAAAACGGTTAAACACTCACGTATATTCGTCCGGTGGCGGCACCGACTAGTTTCGAGCCCATCGGGGCCCTTCATCAGGTTGAGTGGTACTGGTATTATTTCGCGGACGCGGCCCGTCGCTCACTGCGCGCCTGAGCTCTTAGGGCGCGTCTTGAGGGGGCGGGGGCGCGGGTTATGCCGGCGTCGTCGAAGATGTTGATACCAAAGCGTCGGTGGTGTTGTTCAAGTTTCCGGGGGCACAAAACTAGTCGGTGCCGCCACCGGACGAATATACGTGAGTTTTTAGCCGTGTTTATATATCAGTTTAAATACATTTTAGTACTTTAGAATAGGCCAAGCATAGATTTTCTACATTTCTATATACTTATTTAGTTAGTTATACTCTACTAAGAATACAACGAATAATAAAATAGTGGTTAATATTATAAATGACTTTATAGGAAATTACAGTTGATTAAACATTCAGGTTTTTAGCCATGTTAAAATTGTAAAGATAAACTCTAAAACGAAATCAATAACACCGAAGTAACATTAATCGTGGGTTTCTGAAACCAAAATAACCGTTTAAAAGATATTGTATTCTTTGTTTTGTCAAAAGTAATGACAGATTTGGTCTCAGAAACCAACGGTAAAATAGTACACTATTCAAGGAGTCAACAAGGGACTAAAATCTTTGCATAACAATTACTACTATTTGGTATGTTTGAAATAAGAACGTGCGAGTCAATGACCTCTCGTTTATGACGTCACAATTAGATGTGGTTTGTTGCACATTCATGTCTGAATAGTATTTTAATTTATATAAGTGTAATAAAACATCAAGTGAAAATGAAATTTCATATAGTGTGAGAAACTTATCTGGCCCGGTGAGGGTGGCGCTGTTGTCGTAACGGTAGGATTAGTCAAAAAAGTTTATAAAAGGATCAAACAAGGATATCTGAACTGTTTCTACCACGTTTAGTTCTGTTGGAAAAAATGTAAAGAAAAATGGCTTAAATAAACTAACTTGACAGCTACAGAACGAAAAGGACTTTGCGATACTTTTTTTTAAATTGAGATGAGGGCGCTAGTGAGCTATAATAATTTAGTTTGACTTATCGGGTATTACCGGGTCAGATATCCTTGTCGGTCTATACCACTTTAACATTGTGAGAGGGCGCTAATGAGCTATTGTAATTTAGTATCACTCTTGCCCACCGGTTGAGATAAGTTTGTCGGTGTATACGAATACTTAAATCTTCTTTCTAGTCAGGAACCAGGTCTGCATCGGTTCGGCTTTGCCCTTCATGGAAACATGTCCGCGATAAGTCAGCTCGAATTGATCGTCGTAATTATCTTCTCCCATCAGGCAGCTGTAACATACATTGCAATATTTGAAATATTAATGATTCTATAAATGCGAGCGCTTGGACAGTTGGAAGTGCGTTTGTTACAAGGTATCTCCGGAACGGCTCAACGGATCTTTCTGAAATTTGGCACAGATGTAGAACATAGTCTAGAGGAACACATAAGCTATTTGTTTGTAACTCGTCGGGGACAGTGTCGCAGGCGCCAACTAGTATATGCAATTTCGTGTTATAATTTTTCTTGTTATGTTCAGATATTGGCTGGATACTTATTGTTATATCCCTGTCCCTATCCCAAACACGAGGGATCTGATATACTACATGCTGATTCAAAACAACATGAAAAAATTACTAATGGTCTTTGACATAACTACGAGTACTGACCATGAATAGGTTATATTCAAAGGCTTCCCATCAACGTAACCATAGGTAAGTGGATTTGACTGCACTTACAAGTTTTCGGAATAAAAACGAGGGGCATATCAACTGATTTCCGTTCAAAACTATTCGAACCATGAGACGCGTAGTGTCAACTATTTCTTGTTCCTAATTTTTTTTTAAATTTATAAGAATGAGGTCTTACGTTGAAATGTCATTTGCCAAAATCAGGAAAATGTGTTTGTTAATTTAATTTTGTAAATATATGAGTGTTTTTGTTAGATAAAATGGATGCGTTCATGGATTATTATTTCGAAGAGGTGTTCTGTGATTTGGATCGTGACAGTTTAAATGAACGGTACAAAAGGCGGGAACTTGTTGAATATTTTAATTCTGTTATATCTGGATGTGCTAAAGGTTAATATTTATATATTCTGGATGAATCCAGGGACGTATTTTACGCAATATTATTACTAGCCACATAAGTATTCGGAAGGCATTAAATTGTATTATTTTATTAGTGCTATCACAAGGCAAAGGTCATTTCTAAATTCAGCCAAACCAAATATTTTCATATTCGTTTTTAATTTATTTTTCTTGATGTCTTTTAATATGTTTTAATTTTTTTTAGGACAAAACGAATCTGATAATGTGACATGCAGGAACTTTGTAACATCAGCATTACGTTATCATAATAATTGCAAATCGAAAAATGGCGATGTATGTTTCATGGGGAAATATCACAACTTACTGTACATTGCAATGAAATTATCATTTGATTGGAGTCTACAAGATAACGGTGTGGTCGCAGCCCTATTAGATGAACTGTACGCTTGCGAAGGAACTTTTGAGAGGATATTTTTAGGTAATTCTACCAACGTATACTATCAATTAATGAATTAGTTGTCGCTCACGACTCTGTTCACGCGAGGTTATTAAAACTTAATAGGTAGTCCTAGTTCCGTTCCAGACTATGTTCTACATCTGTGCCAAATTTAATTAAGATCCGTTGAGCCGTTCCGGAGATATCTTCTTACATTCATCTATTTAAACTTTCGCATTTATAATAGTAGTAAGATTAAGACGTTTTTCAGTTATTTTTAATCATAAAGACCAATATTACATTGTTTATAAGCGACGATTATATTAATGAAAATCTGTAAAAATTAAGAAATGAATTAAAAATAATCTTGCCAGGATAGGCAACACTAACGCTATTTCAATACTTTATCGAGTTTTGTCCCCCTATTATTAAATTGAGCCCCTCAACGAGTGTCTAGTACACTCGTTGAGGGGCTCAATTTAAAGCGAACTTGGAAAAATCAGGACATTATACTTAATTGTATCTATTGCTATATTTTTTTTCTAGGCGCTATTTTTGGTACTTCAGCACCTTATTTCTTGGCGGGATGGAAATCAGACTTCATGGATAGAGAAGAGAACGTATCAGCACTTGTATTCTTCCTCGATCACGCGACTAATGCGAATTTGGAGTTCAAAGATGGAAATAAAACATATCGATTTATAGACGTGCCTTTAGAAAGTTGTGGGAAAGCGTCACCAGTCAGGGTTGTCATACAAATGGGTGCCGCTGAAATATTGATGATATTACTTCGTTTTGGAGCAAGAATTACATCAGACCATGTTTCAACTAACCCTATTGAATCTATATTAGATCGATTAAAGGAATATAATAGGAAATATCCTTATGAATTGGTCACTTGTTTGAAATTAGCACTAAGGGCAGTCCCTAGGTTGCATTTAACAGTTGATAAGGCAGCATTTAAGCATCTAGAATTGCCTGATAATTATAATTATGATCGGAAAATTGCATTGGAAAAGTATAATGATATTTTAGAAGATCATTTATTGCCTAGTTCTAGATGTGGCTTGAGACCTGTGGAGCTGAAACATTTATGTAGATGTCTTATACGACAGATGTTGTGGACGAATTTTGAATTACCATTTGGTATTCATAAGTTACCTATACCGATGCCGTTGAAAAAATATTTAGATTTATTAGATGATTAGTTTATATATAAGGTCAATGATATTAAATATTTTACTACGAGGATTAATTTCAATCAGTTTCTCTTGCTACATATTATTCCAAAATCTACGTCAATGAAGTAACTAGAGGTTATAAATATTATAAACTATATTTTAGTATAAGATGGATATTATATAACTATTTTACTTAATCATTTTTGGATTACATAAATAAATGTTATTTTATAGAATGTTTCATTTAATCACAACGCCATATCTTATATTATAAAAGTGAAAGTTTAGATGGATGTTTGTTAGTACGTATCTCCAGGACGGTTGCATGGATCTCGCTGAAATTCAGCGTAGACATAGATCGTACTTTGGAAGAACACAAAAGCTACCGAATTAAGATTTTCTCTTTATTTCCGCGTGGACGGGGTCGTGGGCGACAGCTAGTACAATTTAGTTCAAAATCCATTTGAGTTGGGTTAATTTCTATATCTTTGAATTTCACAGATACGTGCAGATTGCATAAATGTGTTTTTCCTTTATCGTAAGAATGTCAGATTAATGTTCATTTGTAAATTGAAAAACACATTGATACATGGCGCTATTCAAACTCAGGACCTGCGGATTACAAGTCAAGTATTTAACCCTTCCGCCACCGAAGGTCATTATCCGATTGGTTGACGTTAAAATGTATATCAGTAACCTGTAAGTATCCTCGCTGACATTGATGGTGCCGGGCACGCCGGTGGTCTCGCAGCGGCTGGTCAGGTTGACGGTGTTGCCGAACAGACAGTAGCGCGGCATGCGGTGACCTATCACACCTGTCACCACCTCCCCGGAGTGGATGCCGATTGTTATACCCTGAATAAGTAATAATTCCTTATTATAAAAGTAGTAGGGAACGCAACAACAGCTTCGACAACACACAGAACGTCAAGTTTAAGTAATTCCGCGATATGGCCTGTGATTATATGTTACTAAGGTTTAATTTCAGTCTTCTTTTCCTTCCCACTCTTATGATGAAAAGATGGGCTGGGGATGGGTCGAAGTGGAAGAGTAAATATTCTCTTTCCGTTCGTCCCCTCCTTCGGTGATTAATGGTAGGCAACACTTCTGCATTAAGAGATATTCAGATAGCTGCTTGTTCGTTTGCCACCAAATATTATATATAATAGCTAGATAATTCTCTTCCATCTTTCCATGCGATTATACTACATCTTTGTTTTAACTAGAATAAAATAAATGTTAAAATAAATGTAAAAGCATACTCAAACTTACAACAGGCTCGTTGTCGACAGTGACGGTCTTGGAGAGGTCCATCATCTCCAGTGCCAGCAAGCAGATGTGCTTCGCGTGTGCCACCTGATACTCTGGCAGACCTGACACCGCCATGTACTTGTCTCCCACCGTCTCCACCTGATTACATTGTCGACTATTTATTGTGGCATTAGCTCGCAGCGGTTCAACGAAGAAACTTTAAATAATTATAATAATACTTACTCCGCTGGCGCATCAACCCAAAGTGGGTCTTGGCCTCCGACACAAGAGATCAATTATAATAATAACATGTTTAATTCAATTTGATAATAGTTATTGTTAGGAAGAAAAAAAGACACTGTGCCGGTGTACTGGCGCAACACTAGCCTCACTAAAATGTCGACGTTTATGTCTCCTCACTAAATATGACACTTGACTTTGTAACGAAAGCGCGTCATTCGCGCCAAATGATTCTAACTAATAATGTCTAAAACTATATTACTTTAACTTGAGTTGCTTAATGGAATTTGGAATTATTTATTTTTACAGTAACACGACTTGGGTTAATAAAAAGAAGAAGGCCCCTTTAAGTATTTTAAGAGTTGGTATATGATCGCTCAACTACAAACGACTTACATACTTCAGTCCCTGTACCATCGAAAAAAAGGGTCTGTCAAGTCTGTCTAGACGGACGGACAACAAAGTTATTCTATAAGGGATCCATTTTTACCTACGGAAACTTAAACACATCAAAACATCTAACCTTATAAACATTAGGGTTCTTCTTAGGGTCGGTGAGGACATCAAAGGCGGTGTAGAGATCATTAAGCATGCGGACGATCTTCATGGCGCCCTTGTGGTCGGTGTTGCGGGCGCAGTAGTTGGCAAAGCCGACGATGCCGCTGAAGAGCAGGGTGACGGGGTCGTAGCGGCGCGCGGGCACGGGCCGCCGGTGACGCAGCTCCGTCGCCACGCTGATCGGCAGCACCGAGTACAGCAGTCTGATACATTTAATACATATATAATAGATTGTTTGTGCGCGATAATCTCAAGAATTATTAGTTAGATTTCAATGATTCTTTTTTAATTTCATAGCCTAACGATTCCTAAAGGTTACGGAGTGTTTAATATCTTGCTAATATAAAAAGTGCTCGAGAAAGAACAATAAATATAGAGTATATCGATCAGATCAGTCAAAATTCAAGTCCTGAATAAAAATTAGTTTATGGTAAAATTCAGTTGTTTCTGGTCAGGTCTTTCAGTTCTTCCGTTAAAAGCATATTGCACCTGTCTGTCTTCTGTTTCTCGGAGTCGAGTTCGCGGAATGTCTGCTGCAGCTTGTCGGTGAGCACCTCGAGGCTCTGCGTCAGTTTGTAATCTGCCTCGAACTGCTCCGACATCAGCACGAGGTCGCGAGTCGCGTCGTGCAGCGGGATGTCGGAGATGCACAGCCCGCGTCTACGCAGTCAAAACAAGATTGAACACTAAGAGTCATTTGTGACTAATTTACGAATCTGAATGCGCTTTAATTTTGGATCTAGAATAGCTAGATATAAAATAAGATACTATCGATGTAATAGAAACATATATAGACGATCTTTCTATTCGTGGTTATAAAGGTAAGATCTTACCGAGTCAAATCATCTAGATTAGTTACGCTGGGATAACACTGGAATACAATCACATCGGTTTCTGGAATGTACAGCATTTGGCCCTGGAATAACACATACGTTTAGTATTCATTCCAGTAAGACTGGATGAATAGAAACAAAACAAGAAAAGCCTTTACAACGTAAAAATAAATTATTTTCGTTAAAAAAGACTAATTTTATCTGGATATTAAAATAACTGTCATAGTTACTATAGATTCATATTTTTTGTACCTTGAGACGAAGGGAAGCGATGTCTTCATGTGGGTCAGTGGCGTTCATTTCCTCTGGCTTGGTCTTCAACACGTACACAGTGTTAATGTGGGCGAGGACGTTCTGGAATGTCATCTCCAAATGCGGTCGCACCTTTAATTTAAATACAAATAATATAAACAAAACAAAGAATATTGTTAGTATGGATGCGGTAACAGATCGTAGTTTAATTGTTGACTTACCGTATCCAGGACTTCAGTGATCTTACATCCGGGTGTGGTGACGCGCGGCAAGAGACGGGAGACAGTGCGTCCCGCTTGCACGATGTTCAGCTCGCGGTCAAACATCAGGTGGAAGGGGAACACGCGGCAGAATGTCGCCGGACTCACTTTAGGCTCTAAAATATTTAACATAATATGAACATAATAGTTTGAAAGTTCAAACATTGAAAAACGCAATCGTATTTTTAATTGTGTCATCGTAGTTAATTTTACCTAAAGACAGTGTTTCGATTTCAGCAATCTCGGGCACGGACACACGTCCTGGCGTCGAGGTCTCCGTGATGAGGAACTGCACATGGTCGCACTCCTCTTTCGTTTTCAATATCTCCACTTTCACTTCGGTATTGTGCAGCTTGCTAGCTACCGTCTGCAGAAAAAAAAACAGAATTATGTTCTGGTTTCTCCTCTATGTTCTATTTTTTGTTAAATTAATTGTAAATGAATGATCTTACTTTGACAATCCCGATGACGATATGCTCAAGGCCGGGCCTGTCGGAGTAGTAGTGCAGCACGAGGGCGCCATCTTCCGGCCGCTCGGTGCAACGGAACGACGGAGATCGCATGCCCGGGTACAGCGTGCCCAGATGGTCATGCAGACCGTCCAAGTTCTAATAACATTAAAACAATCGATGGTGTAAATCGTCTAGATTCTGCCAACATTAATCCTTTCTGTCAAAGGGTAAAGAAAAAAAAAACATCCGTTTTGTATAATAGTTTTCAGATATCTGGGCGGCTCTTCGCGCGAGAACTTCGCTGACTGCTAAGGTGAAGTGGGGCGTAAAGGGGCGCGAGAGGACACTGCGCAACGCGCGCTTGACTTTAGCCCGCTAAAATATTTGAAAAGAATAATACGTACTTGTAAGAAATCACGCGGATTGGCTCCGAGGACTTGTAAAATTTTATCATATCCAGAATCCTGACAGAATTCGAAGAAAGTCCTACCGAAGGACTCCAAGATTGCGTCGGCAGGGGTCTCTGAAAATATATAATTACTTCAATGACTGGGTTTGGTTCAAGTAAATTTAAGCAATTCGTTGCTTTGTTAACTTACGTAATATTTCGACAGCAGCTGTTATAAGATTGTAAGTTATTTCATCCTCGTAAATCTGACGAACAAGGAAACTTCCTTCCATAGATACTGCAGCTTTCTTTCTGTGAGGATATTTAATTAAATATGAATGTAGCAATTTTATTCCAAGGTTAATTATATGACGCAGACGAAAACTCTACAATCCTTAGCACTACTTAAGCTTTTTATATTAATTTCAGGTGCAGAAAAGTTTCTATACAAAAAACCAAGTAATGAAGCATAATCATATATGATTTTAACAAGAAGTTACAAGGGTGACGGGTTCGTGCAAAAAACTTGATCGATGACTTAATTCTCAAACTGATCGCTTCTTAAGTATGGTAAATAAAAACCCATCCAACAAACCAAAAAATTGTAAGAATAGTTACTACAATTTAACAACAACATACTTAATTTTTTCCCATGTTTCCTCGCCGAATGACTTCAGAACGAGAAGTTCCAAAGCGTAGTTGACGAAACCGTACTGAAAAATGTAAAAAACAAAATTTAAAAATCGTGCACACTACCAAACATAAAACCAAGCTACTAGGTCTGCATAAAACTTACCATTTTGCAATTCCCCTTTCGCCTGAAAAAGAAGAAAATAAAAAGATAAAATGTATTTACTTGTTACAATAAGGAAGAAAACTTTGTGTCTCTGAGAATAAAATTAATTTTCTTGTGCAATATAGTCTCGCAATCAGTTGGAACAAAGGCAAAAGGGAAATTTGCACAACTCTTATTAATTTTCTCCGCCTCGACGGACCAAGTGTTTCGATTTCAGCACAAATAATGTAAGAGAAAATGGTCTTTGTTATTATCATGACAAATATTGTTTTGAATTGCTTATGGCTAAATTCTTTTCTTATTTTAGGGTTCCGTACCTCGAAAGGACAAAAACGGAACCCTTATAGGATCACTTTGTTGTCCGTCCGTCCGTCTGTCAAGACTCTTTTGAGTAACATTGAATATTAGTAATAACCTAACTTCCACGTTACTTATCCGCGGCTAACGGCTAAAATATGTTGAGGCTTTTTCGCGCTATTTAAGTGTAAAAAGAGAGGTTAATTATAGCATTTATAAAAATCCTTTTATGTCCGTGAACGATGCTTGAAATAATGAATAGTTTTTTATTAAATATAGATCTTGTATAGAGACATCTATGTGCACGGTTACAGAATTGAAAACAGATTCTTAACGCGCTGAATAGATGGCGCTGGTGACATAAGATACAGTTCTATCAATGTTAAAATTAAATTTTGTTTATACATTAACAAATTATTTAAAACGTTACAAAAGTGATGTGTTATTTTATTAATTTAAGTTTATTGTTGTAAACTTTCAGTTTATATTGGTGTTATTTGTGAAAATACATTAAAGAAATAAAGTAAACAGATTATAAATGTGTTTAAAATAACTTTTGCACTCTATATATTGTAAAGATAGAATATAAAATAAACATTTTCTTGATGTTATTCATTTCACATTAGGAGCTCCTTTTTAGGACCTAAATCAATTTAGTAGGAATAATTGCTTCAAATATTTCTTACCTGATTTAATCTCAATTTTCTTTAATAAAACACTTAATTTTACCTTTAGCACTCGAAGTTGCACTATATTAAAGCCTTTATAATAATTTTATTACTGAACACACATATATTTACCTTTTTTTTATAATCCTCGATGAACTAACCTTTCACACAACCACTCACGCCAATGCTTTGGCGAAAACTGACGTTTACGTCGTTCCTTTACTGAACAAAATAAAGACGAATTGACGCATTATTCACGTTTATTTCGTAAAAATAATATTTATTAGCTTAATTTATTATCAATAAAAGGTAAAGGAAGTATTAATTACTTTTAATTTGGTGTTTTTCTCTAAGAAATTCATAAAAATAATCCAAGGTAGTTTCAATTTAGAATCAACGCCATCTTAAATAACTATACTGCAATATGTTTAGTAAATTGACCGACAGAGGGCGTTCGAAGTAACATTAATGCAACTAAAATAGGTATTGAATCGCTGGTTATTAAATCAGGGATTCAATGTGGCTATTAATTGGATTTAGAAGTATCTTTGTTCTAAGTTGCGTCGGTGGCGGCGACAAATTTGAAGGCAAATTAGTTTTTAATTAAAGGACAACTTGTAATTAATACTCCAGAAGTAAGCTTTGTATATTACAATACTACAAGCTGTCGCCGGCGACTCCGTCCGCGCGGAATAAATAAAAAAAACTTAATTAGCCTATATGTTCTTCCAGACAATGTTCTACATCAATGCAAAATTTCAGCGGTATCCTTTTAGCCATTCTGGAGACACCTTCAAACAAACATCCATCCATCCATCATCCGTTTATAATGTTATATTAGTAAGATGCAAACGTTTATTTTTTAATTCCGTGCGGACGGAGCCGCGGGCGACAGCTAGTGTTTTAATAAATATAATACAATTGGGACAAAATAAGTGAAAAGCTGTAAAATTGTTACCTTGATAGGGATCATTAGGTACAAACATAATTGCAATTGTGTAAAGTGCTTTTAGGAATACATGAGTTAGAGATGGTCTTTAGGAGTATTGTGTCGTAGAAATCATAGTTTTATAGCTTCGCTGTTTGGGATTCTCTTACTAAGTACTTCATTGAGTTTTTGTTTTTGAAATGTTTTAGGAAAATGAAATTCAATTGGTGGATTTTCTTCGAAGTTAGAAGTTGCAAACTCATTCAAAATACCAACATATGTTCAAAAATTGATGGCGTTATTTGGCCTTGGCTGCATATGGGCCCCGATTTGCCGCCGACCCATACACCTAGATACCGCTGGCGAGTCACCGTAGAGCTGGACATGGAGCTACAATCGATGGACTAGTAAGAGAAGGCGCAAGACATGCTACTATGGCGATCCCTTGTGTCGGATACCATGACCCACTTCATGTCGCTACGCTAGTGGAGTAAGTGAAGCCTTTCCTTCAATAAACTGTAGTTTTGATTGATAATGAAGATTTAATGCAAGGTTTTTAATTTAAACTTTTAGCTACTGACCTACTACATTAACGACATTTTTGTAAAGCTAGTGTTAAGTCAATACACTGGCACATTTTCGGATTTTCTTCCTAACAGTACATGTTTTTTTGAAATAAAACCGCATGTGTTAATGCACTTGATACTTATAAAATATTTATGACGTTGATATCTTCAAGTATATCCAAAATGGAATTGTACTGTAAAGTGTTTTTGTCAAATTCCAAATAATATTGCCGTCGGTAAAATATATCACATTAACTTTGACCCCTCTTTACCTATAGACGATAAATTAGTTATAGGAGAATATAATGAAGTCATTCCTGAAGTCTGAACAAAGCGACGAACAAGTCGAAAATGTCAAAGAATTTAATAAATCTGTTGTCAAACGGCGAACTCGGCGCCTATAATTTACGAAAAGTGTGACCATTATATCCGCACGAATAAATCCAAAGGATCGTTCATTTGAATAACGTTTCTATCAATGGGAACAGTTTGTATAAAGTATGGGTTTTTGCCTAGTAAGGACATTTTTCACAGAATCGTCTTTGGCAAATAATGATAATTTTGTTAGAGGCTCAAGATGATAAGTCTCAGTAGGAGGAAGAATTTCTTACATGTTATTTGAATTGAAAAACTGCCATATTGAATATTTGGTAAGTAATTACTACTGATCTGTATTATATTATAGATTAAGGTCCGATTCCACTTAGCAATTTGCCGTGCAACTCTAGTGATCGGTTTTGTGTGAAGTTTTTTGTACTTTAGCCACTGCTGCGGCCTTGGATGGTGTAAATAAACACATAGAAGAACTAAAAATTTGTGAGAAAGATCATCAAGACATCGCAATGAAGTCCGTACGGCCACTTTCCAGCTCCATCATCATCAGCACGTATCCACAAATTCAGCACAATAAGTAATCGGGAAATACTTTAAAAATTTATATCATGATTTGGTGACTAACATTGGGACATGTGAAACTAACTTAAATACAAAACTACGATATATTTGACGATGTCACATAATTAATACAATATGTATGGTCGGAACAATCCAATTACACAAATTAAGTTCACTCGTATTGTTGTAAGTAATGAGTTTTCCAACTACAATAAACATTTGTCGACGTTCAGTTTGTGTGTTCAACAACACTGACCGAGCGTTTAAATTATTTTAATGATTAATGAGATACTTAATGAGTTTAATATCTTAAGTTGATTTACTTTAAACTGCATGTAATCCAATCGATATGTAAGCAATTTTTGCAAAATTATGGCATAGGGGATGTTATTTTAGAACTTTAGGAAACGTGTTAATTATTTATTCGTAGTCTGTCTATAGGTTAAACTGATATAAAAACGGCTAAACACTCACGCATATTCGTCCGCTGGGGTGGGTGGGTCACTGGGTGAGCGACGGGCCGCTTCCGCGAAATACATAATACCAGTCCCACTCACCCATATGAAGGGCCCCGATGGGCTCGAAACAAGTCGGTGCCGCCACTGGACGAATATACCTGAGTGTTTAGCCGTTTCTATATCAGTTTATTATAATGTCTCACGAAAGTTTGTATAACTGTCTATAGGTTATTTGCAATGATTTCAACATCCATCTACCGTACGCGCAATAATTTAGGGGCCACTAAAGGTGGTCCTTAGTGTAAATCTAGTATCAGAGCAACTCTATTAAGCGCTTATTTAAGTTACCATTAAATTAAGCAGTTGCTTATTGCAGATTTACCTATTAGGAATATTTGCGGCACTTCCTTCGTGACAACAAAATGTGTATGAAGTTAGTTGTAGGCTGCACAAATGAAACAAATATTGTCCATGACGTCACGAAAACATTCCCAAAAGTATTCCTACTAGGCCCTCTGTTGCACCAGTACCTGTGAACAAAGTAAACAAATTGTTTCAAATAGCTTGAATCCTGAACAAATTAATTAAGAGTATATAGTTCCCGTTTTGCAGTTACAATAAATATGTTAACGAACGTTAACATAGCTAACGATCGCAATTATCATTTAATTTTATGACAATGAGCCGCACCGTTTGTTTTTACTATGGAAATAACGAAACGACTAAAATGTCGTATATTACGCGGTACGAAGTACAGAATTGTGTAGAAAGGTTATAAGATCCTGCTATGAATATCAATAGGTAACAAAAAGTTTAGACGGAGATCATCTAAGGAGGTCGCAATGCTTTTTATTTCACGCAAAACGTTTATTATCTTAAAAATTATTTATAATCATTTATTTTATTTACAGTTATTAACTAAATTATCTTAAAAAATTCAAGAAATAGAAGCCACGTTAATTAATTTTTAGTTTTTGTAAACCGCAAAGTAAGCATTTACGAGTAGTATCTTTTTAAAGTTACATTTATCTTAACGAAAAAGACGTTATATTCCACAGATTAACTTTTGCAGAGATTTAATAAATTCTAAAAACAAAAAAGGATCGCCCAAACAAAATAATTCCAAACAAGAAAACGCATCTTGCTAATCGAAACCCATTTGAGTATTCCATACTTTAACAACTGTGGCTAGGAAGTCAGCAAAAAGAAACAAATGAAAGAATTTATTTTAGTTTACTTCGCTTCCGAACCATTCGTATGAATATTTATGTGACACCGTCTATCCCATTTGTCCGGTTTTGAAAGATTTCCTTTAGGTAAGGTAAGTTTTCTGGAATTTAATTTATCACCATCTTATTGACTGTCCCGCCTACTCGGAATTTAATTAGGGATTTCATTTGCATTTAAAATATGCCCCAGATAAGAATAAAATACTTTTTAATGATCTATTAAAAGGCAACGTAGATTTTAATGAAATTCAACGAGAAACAGTTTCGGAGAAACATTACTAATACTAGTGGTCGGCCATTGGTCGAAATTCAACTATAATTAGAGAAGAAAGAGAAGAAGTTAAATGCTATCGTCATCATCAGCTCACTATATGTCCCCACCGAGACGTTGGATATATGTACATATGTAAATCGGGAATCGATAAACACATTGGTACCTGCAGATTCGAAGTCAAGTGTTTTACTCCTGAGTCACCGACGCTCTACTAAGCCACCGCCGCTCTTACATCTTACTAATATTATAAAGTGCGTCTATAATCTTATATATCTAATATATCTTACTTCTTACTAATATTATAAATGCGAATTTTTAGATGAATGGATAGATGAATGGATGGATGTTTTTTTCAAGGTATCTCCGGAACGCCTGAATGGATTTCGCTGAAATTTAGCATAGATGTGGAACATAGTCTGGAAGAACTCATAGGTTAATTAGGTTTTTTTTACTCCGCGCGGACGGAGTCGTGGGCGACAGCTAGTGTTTGCATATGACTTCGTAATACCACTTTCTATATTTTATATTTATATGACTTGCGTTTTTTACCATCTGTTTGGAATACAATAAAATATGGGCGTAAACGTTGATGTCGACCGTAAAGGTCGGGTCTCTGGTAATAAAATTGAGGAACAGTTTTCTTTTCAGACAGTTTAGTGAACGTAGCAGAATTTCTTACTTTCCAACTTGGTCAATAAATTACCATCAAGTCCTATTAGGAAAAGCTACTGTTACAGTTTTCAAAATTATGTAGGTCAAAAATATCAAACTGTACTATGGTAATATATGAAATTCTATAAACTTTAGTACTTCTCTACATCTGAATATTTCATCATCA